TTTTGGTTGTCAGACAAACATGCAGCTTCTGAAACATTCCCAGCTCAATCAGTTGAGAAAGCAAAGATTTTTTTTTTTTTTTTTTTTAAGAATTATACTATCAGTAGGCTGATACTTCTCATGGTGAGCCTGCAGTCAAGTGGAGCCTCCTGAGTACAGAGGCTATATTCCATCATTGTCTGCGCAAATAAAACTCACTTCTAAGTATAGCTGTAACTAAGAAATAAAAATGGGTAGAATTAAAACTAAAGTGTCACTAGAAGTGAAGATGTACCTCATATCTAAGCAACTTCCTGTATTTTGAGCTTAAGTTAACTTTTGCATGTTGCTACAGTCAAAAAAAATCTGACATATGGAAATATTATTCAGCACCTCACTACTTCCTGTAATAAATGGCAACGAGCAGCTGCATTATCATTCCTACCAGACTGCACTAAGAATCTCACGGTTCACATTCAGCTATGTTTGTTCTCAACTGGTTTTCATAGCTATTGCCTATGGAGAACCCCACTGGTAAGCCAGGACATCTCATACACGATGCTCAATCTGTAACTTACAGTCTGCAACAGAATTGTGCTTCTTGTACCCTCCACTAGTTAATTACCCAGAAGATTCATAACTAAAGGTAACCAAATTCACACTTGGCTTCCCTTCAAAGTGTATCTAGCACAACATAACTCCTTGTACCATTCACCTTTCAAACTCACTGCCTAGCTTCAGCAGCTCTGCCTTGCCTAAGGCAGCCAGCACTCGGCCTCCTTTCCCCCCCAGCAGCTCAGGCACCCAGCATTAAGCACAGCAACCTGACTAATGCTGCTCTGATGATGGAGTAGGAATGGCAGAGACATTAGCAAGATGTATTTCCTCTCGAGGAAGGGAAGGCTGGTCAGGCACCAGTTCATGAATACAAGGGACAGGAGTGATACAGCACTTACCAGACAAGCAGTGCAGTTCTACACATGCAGTTTACCAGCAGTGTTTTCAACTAAGGTAAATACCATTCTAGGAACAATTTCTAGATCATGCTTCCTTTAAAAGGAAATACTGTCCAAATGAAAGAAGGCAAGACTTCAAATCCCTGACAAATACACAATTCACAAAAGAGCTCAATTCTCCTCCCATACTTAAGAGTTAAGTATTTGATTGACAGCGCCCAGCGCAGTAATTCTGCATGAAGTTTTGCAGTCCAGCCAGTGACTGGACCGGCCTGTATTGCTCTGCAAACCAAAGGTTAGGTGACCACCTTTAGTTTAAAACTGACTCAAACTGAAATAGAGACTCAGAGAATGACACATTACGCCTAAGATTTGACTTTTACGGTCAGCTACATGACTACCACCTTTGGCATAAGCCTATTACTTAACACAGATAATACAACAGGAAGAGGCAGCACATTTTAGCCATATTACCTGAGCTGCATAGAGGTATAAGGTGGCTCACTGCTCAGAAGTGTAACTTTTTAAAGACTAAAGAGCAACACGATTGTACAGGAAGAGGTTTTAAATTAAATGGGAACAGTGGCAATAAGCACTTTTGCCTGCTTCTGCCTACTTAAAGACCATTAAAGCAGGAATCTTAACCACTACTTCACTAAATTTATGAGATGTGCTAATGACAACAGTAGGAGGCACACTTGACTCAGAATAACTAGAGCCAAGATGAACATATACAATGGGAATAAAAGTATGTTAATTCAGTGTGAGCCTTCAAGTTTTCCTTGCAGCAACTGAAGCTGAGCACTGGCCCTAAGCAGTTCCTGCTGAGCTCTTCACAGCTCCGCCATGCTCTGCTCCATGCAGGGCTGTATTTCAAATTTGAATATCTGCATCCAATATTTAAACTGGGTTCAGCTACAATCTGCTAATATAGACAGCTAAATTTAAACTAGGATTGTCTATCAGTCATACCTTCCTTAGAATTTTATTAGACATCTATGAGCAACCTTGAAATACTTAATTCCCTCAAATACCAAGCCTTCCCATCTTCCTCAGATGGAGGAAAATTAAGCCTTGGCCAGGACTTCCCATGCTGAAGGCATAAAGGTAACCCCAGAAGTTCATTCTCCGCCATTTCCACCACAGTTCAGTACATCAAGCATAAGGGGCATTAGAGTGCCACTGAAAAGCCTGCTTTTGGATATGGAGCAATATATTCCAGGGAATCACCACCAGCTTGGGAACCTGAGCTGCATTTGGTAAACAGCACCCAAACTCCTCTTTGGAGAGATGGATTTTGACGTTCTTTGGTTTTATCCTTTATCTCTAGAGAACACATACACAAAAATTAGATCCAGTTACATTGTCCATCATTATCAAGTCATTCTGCTAGAGACCACTACAAACTGTTTCATGCTGTCCTTGATCCACAAGGTTCCTACTACAAGTTTTGCTCCAATATTTAAACACTAATTCACCTGAACTGAAAGCAGCTGGCATATTCCTGCCTTCCACACAGCAGAGAACTTAAAGAAACTGAAGCAGTCAAGGTGTGCTAGAAAAGCCTGAAAAGAACATACTTCCAGAGAACTGTGATATACCTCTATCAACTTTGGGCAAGCCCAGAGAGGGACAACAACCTGCATAATCCTGCCAAGCAGCCTCATCCTGGCAGCGCTGCAGTTGTACTGTAGAAGGCTCTGGAGAGGTGGGATGCCTACGGATGCCTATGCTCGCTAGCATAAACACTGGTAAGAAAAGATGCTTTATTGGTAAAGAACACACTTCAAGGCAATTAAAAATAAGCACAAGTCAGTTATGGCTGCTAGAAGATAGCATGGAAGAGTCATTCAAAGAAAGCAATTCACTTTTCCAACATAAAATAAACAGGCTTTGAAGGCTCACCCATCCTTGAGCCATGGCATTCTGGAAAGCCAGTATGACATTTAAGTTTGTCTATTTTTGTGAATCTAGATTTTATTTTGATACAAGTCATGCACAAGGCATTTCACCACCCTGTCAACAGTTACAGTTTTCCTAGATAAAAAGAAGAGGATGTACCCATCACACCAACAACTCCCAAGTTCCTCCTTTTATTTCTAGATGCAAACAATAAAACAGGACTTTATCTTAAAATATTCTACTAACTGTACAGTCTAGCTCCTCTGGCAAACACTTTAACAGCTATAAAACTTGTATTCATGTTTCAAAGAGGCATTTTGTATGCACTCTCCTTATGAGAGAAAAGCTACTGCCTTTAAAGTAACTTAAGCCAGAAGGTACTCTAATATACTTAGTCTCCAAGCAAAACACCAAATATTTCCCCCCTAGAAACATTTTCATTTGAGCTTTTTGCAGCCTCACTGTCACTTAAATTATTCATTTCTTCAATCAGCTGAAAGCTCTGCTACACAGTCCCTAAAAACAAACTTCTTTATTAAGTTACTTCAAAGAAGGTGCTTCTTTAGGCAATGCTTGCATAGTACTGAAGATGCCTAGGACACTTCAGAGGTACTGTTAGTTGAAAGCGACTGATGCCAAGCTGACATTAGTTTCTGATCAGGAAGCACACTGTAAAGATGAAAACAGACCCAGGGGTTAAAGCCACAGAACTCCAGAACTGCAAAGATTATGATTTCAAATAAAAGTCATATCATTTTGGTGGATTACTAATCTCCTCTCAGGTCAAACTGCATATGAAAAGCTTAAGCAGAGCCCAGCACTTTTTATTTAAAATTAACGCTCAAAGGACCACCACAGCAAGAACATAAATAGCATGTAGGAAAAGTGCATGCCGAAGGATCTCAAAGAAAACTGAAGTTGATTCTACACTCACTGACTGTGGAAATAAGGGTAATAATATAATAATCAACCAAGGTACTGCTGAAATGCTTGAGCAATCATCCAAAAGCGAGTATCAATACAAACTGAGAAATCTTTTAACATATTCTGTCTGTTTCACTGGAACAGACACAGAATTGCTTTTGAGGGTAACAAAGTTTTGGCCTAGTACCACACTTTACCCCACTGAGCTACCTGCTTAGAGCCTCCTCAGAACATCCTGGGATTTTGACCCAATGCTCTTTTGTCTGCCCTAAATTGCATGAGAACACACACAATACTAAGGCCACATTATATGAGTCTCCCTATAGATTGCACTGAAGCAACCCTAAAAACAAGTGCTATCCTTTTAATTTAACACTGAGGCTTTGAAAGCCAAATCCTGCACCAGGTAGTTGTTCCTGGTACTCCAGCTCTTCCCACTTCTTTTAAGGTTGTTGCACAGCAACCTGCCTCTCAGTTACACAAGCTCTGACTCGCACGAAATAAGGGTGTTCTTGTCATCATCAGGCTGGGCTTCTGCAGAACGCTGGCTCGGCTCTGGCTAGAAACTTGGTAGAAGAACAGTTTCTTACTCAGTTTAATCCACTAGTCACTTGCAAACCTTAAACTTCAGGTTTTGCAAAGCTTCAGAAAAGAGATGATTATTTTCCTCCTTGTACCTGTATTGAGCAAGAACCCTACATCTTAGAATGAAACAGTAACTTGCAAAACTAAAGGTGATGAACTACATGACTTTGGGTATATCCTAAGGTTACCTCCTACAAGGATCCCCTGCCACAGGCACATTAGGTATCTGTGAAATTTACACGTTAATATTTTTCCTAAGAAAAGCACCTAAAGAAATTGTGAAAAATTAATTCGAGCTCAAGTTGACATTTCTTTACATTGCAACAGACACATTTTTCTTCTGCCTCCCTGACGCTATGTGCAAGTATTTCTACGATCCTCCCAGTTTTATTTTGTAGGTGTAAAATAGAATTATATTTCTTATAACATCTTGCAATGTCTTTTCTGAAGGTAAAAAGCTAAACAAATTATTCAGACTCTGAGGAAAGGCTGCACCACCTTTCTTCCACAAGAGAGGCTCAGCTGAGATCTGCAGCTCCCCGCCTAAGTCAAGCAGACCTCAAAAATCAATGGGTTTTGTCGTTGTCAAGCATGCAGCCGAGCACCTGGGAGACGGAGCATGCTTTGGCGATGCCGAATTTTTATTTACGTTACCTGTAGCTCGCACCAGGCGACTTCCACAGTGGTGTCCGTATCCAGCCCTTTGTACACGGTCTTGAAAGAGCCTCTTCCGATCTCGATGTCGAACTTGAGGAAGCGGCCGTCGGGGGAGATGCCCACCGCCTTGGTCTCCAGCTCCTCGATGTCCTCCTGCTGCGTCCTCCGCTCCTCGAACTCGCGGCTGGCAGCCGAGGCGCTGCCGGCGGCGCTGCTGGGGGGCAGCGCGGCGGCCTCGTCCTCCTCCTCTTTGGGCAGCAGCGGGGCGGCATCCTTGGCGGCGGGGGGCTCCTGAGGGCACTGTCCTTCCCCGGGGAGCGGGGCGGGCGGCGGCTGCTGCTGCTGCAGCAGCGAGGCGGCCTGGGCGGCGGCGGCGGCGATGCCGGAGGTCCGGCCGGCGCACTCGGGGGGCGACACGGAGGGAGCGGCGCTGCCTCCCGACACGGGGGCCGAGGGGGCGGCGGGCTGCAGGCTGGGCAGCTCCAAGGCCGTGGCGTTGGAGTCGCAGATGACGCTCCGGCGGAAGAAGCGGTGCTCGGTGGCGGCCGCCCCCCGGCTGTCCTTGTCCATGGTGTGGCGGCGCCGCCGGTACTCCTCGCTCCGGCCTCCGCTCCCCGCTCCGCCGCCGCCGGCCCCGCCGGCTCCGGGGGCTCCGTGCTCGGCGGCTCCCAGCTTCTCCCCGACGGAGCTGTCCGAGCTGGAGCCGTTCTTGGGCGGCGGCGGCGGCGGCGCCAGGAAGCGGGGGGCCGGGGGGCCGCTCTCGGCGGCGCCCCCCGACATGGCCGAGAAGGGAGCACGAAGGGGGAGAAGGGGGGAAGGGGGAGAGGGGCCGAGGCCGCTCAGCGAGCGGCGGGCGGGCCGGGCCGCCGCCGAGGGAGCTGCGAGGGGAGAGGAGGAGGAAGAGGAGGAGGAGGAGGGCCCCGGGGGCTCCTCACGGCGGGGCTGGGAGGCGGCGGGGTGCGGCCCCGCTCAGCGCCGGCATCCATCGTGCGGCGGGGCGCCGGGCAGCGGGGCCGACATGGGGCACCGGGAGCGGCGGCGACGGAAAAAGGGGGGTGAGGGAGGGTGGAAAAAAAAAACAAAAAACCACAAAAACCCCCGAGCCGCGGGGCTCAGCCCCGCCTCGCAGCGGCGCCCATGGCGGCCGCGGCCTCCGCCCGCCGCTCCGCAGCCTCCGCCCGCGCCAGGCCGCGCTCCCACAACGGCGGCGGCCTCGCGGGGAGCCCCGAGCCGAGCCCGGAGCCGGGCCCGGAGCCCTCCCGCTCTCCTCCTCCTCCTCCTGGCCCTGCCGCCGCCCTCAGCGCAGAGCCGCCCGGCCGCCGCAGGTGAGCCCCGAGCCGAGCCGAGCCGAGAGGCGGCGGGGCGCGGAGCGGAGCTGCCCCGGGGCCGTCTGGGCGCTAAATGGCGGCGGGCGCCCGGAACCGACACACGGCGGGGGGGGCGGGGCGGCAGGGGAGGGACGGAGGGGAGGGGGGGGGAGCGCAGCGCCGCACGCCCCCTTCCGCGCCCGTCCCGCTCCTTCCCTGCAGCGGAGGGTGAGAGGGGAGATGGCGGCGCTCGCCGCGCGCGGAGCTTCATGGGAGTTGTAGTTTTTGTGCGGGGGTTGCGCCTCGAAGGCCCCAAGGGTTTTTTTTTTTGTTTTTTTTTTTTGTTTTGGGGAATCCCTTTGTCAGCAGGGGGAGGGAGCGGCTCACAGCTCGCCCTCCTTCACGCAAGGGCAGCGCTCACCACGCTGGGTGGGAGCGGGTGGTGGCACCACCGCGGAGCAGATGCCACAAGAATGGCGGCCAGCCATGGGCACCACAGAACAAGCCTTGGGAGCATGAGGTGTTCGGCTTCACACCGCCTCCCCACTTCGAAATTTCGAGCAAAGATAACCCCCTTAGGTGCACGCACCACGTATGCACAACGTAGTCTATTTTGGGCCCTTTTTTAATCTCGGTTTACATCACCCGCGCATGCATCAATTGGCCAGGTAACCTAAAATGCAAATAACCGGCATGTAAACTGTGCTCACAATTATCTGAAAGAGACAGCATTTGCAGACTTTGCCCTCAAAATGATCATTTGAGTCAAGGCTTTGGCAGCTATAGTGGCATAAAGGATGTACAACAGTCAGACGAGCAGGAAGAGCCCACGTGAATGCTGACACAAATCAGGAACTGTCAGGTTAAAAAAGCCTGGGTACACTCGAGTCATCTACTTATTTATATCATGTTCCGCTTTCGTAGTCATGTACCAAAACCAAGCACTTTCCTTCTTACGAGAACAGCCACTTGAAGACACTGGGAATGTACTGGAGAAGGCGTGAATGATTTGGTACCATGCCTTTTAGGCAACCATAATTTAAAAATACGTCAAGAAATAAAATGTTAGGAAATCTCCCAATGAAAATAATATGTTCCCAGGAGACACTCTGGCACTTCAAATACCTTAAAAAAAAAAAAATGTTACTTCTAAAACAGCAGTTTAGAGGAAGTTGTGCATTGTGTGGCTGGTGTGAGGCTTGAACTCATCCTGCACAGCACAACACAAACAGCCCCTACAGAGCCCCGCAAGCCCCCAGTCACAAAATACCAACCAAAGCAATTCTCATATGCTTGTACTCCTCACCTAAAAAATGCAGTACTCCACACTAATTGGAAGATTGCTGTTTTCCCTGTATCAGCTACTCTTTGTAACAGGAAACAAAATAATGATACAGTCTTCACAAAGAGGACAAAACGTACTTTGTTGTACAACTCTTCAGCAAAGACTTCTGCACTGTGTAAGCATTCTAGAGCTTGCCTTCGCTGCAAAAGCTGATCTGAGTTAGTATATTCTTTGTGCTCCAGTAGAACTGCGTTGGCACAAGTGAGTAGATACTCTCCAAAACAAAGCTGAACTAAACAGCATGATTTGATTAGCAGCAAAGAGTGACCGGATCAAAACTGATTAACTCATAACTCAATCTGCTGTATCTTCACTGCCCTGCCAGTTCCAACAATTGGCCATTAACATCTTTAATATCAAGCAGGGGTCAGGTTCACTCAACACTTGCCTACAGGTATTTGTGTATCTCTTCATCATGGAATGAAGATTTATTTGTAGTGTCAGCAGGCACATCCATGGAAGCTTTGCACTATTAAGGGCAGTGGGGCATAGCAGTGGGACTCCAGCAAGGGTTTGTAGCCAAGGCCCCATTATCCACCCTGGTCCATGCCACCCTATCCTCACTGCTGCTGTTGCCTTCTGGAGCTACATTCAAGCAGAGGTCTGCTTTCCTCCCCTGCCTGCTACGTTTTTGCAAACACTTTGGGTGGGATAAGTGGCAAATTCAGGAGTACACAGCAGACCTCACTCCAGCCTGATGCCTGTTGTAACTTAATGAGCATACACCTAAAATAACACAGTGATAAATCATGCCTTGTGGTGCAAGCCTACAGCTTTCTTAGGTGAATTCCACTTGCAGTATCAGTCATCTTCGGCAGGCAGCTCCCAGGCCTGTGCCCAGCCACATACCTACCGTATGATCCACTGCAAAAGGTGCTTGGGCTGCAGCGGGGGAACCACCTCCCTGCGGTCTACACGAGTGGTTTAAATGTGACCTTGCGTGCAGCCCCTCTCTTACCCAAGTGCTTTTCACCCATTGTTCTTAAATATATTTTCTCTTAGTTAATTAAGCGAAATCTTTGTAGACGAGACCTGAAGCCCTACAGTGCATAGCCACAGGAGGCCTGAGGCAGCCTCCTACCAGAAAATTGTGGTAATTATGCAAAAAAGCACCTCCCCAGTGTCTGATCCAGCACATTCCTTAGTGCTCTTGAAATTCGGTAAGGTTAGGCGTCTGGGCACAACGTGTTCAGCGAGGTCCCTAACACCCAGCTCTTCTCACTGGCTCCTCTTCTGGGCAGAGATGGGTATAGCAGTCACCCTCGGGCAAAAATTAAAAAAATAAAAAATAAATGGTTGAGCAGCTGACCTGGAGGTGGGAATGATGTATTTTGCCTTCTTTGACTCACAGAACGAAGTGGAATGATTTTGGCAACCAAATTTTATGTGGGTGTTGCTTTAATTTTGTCAACCTAAAAAAAGATGAATATAATAAAGAGCGTGGGGTTCCTTGCCCTTCAATTTTATTTTGTCTTTTTTAGTCTGTAAAAATGTGTTTAGGCTAAATGGAAAATTTCAGTATTGCAGCAAGATTTAATAAAGCATTAAGTAAATTCTATTTGTATTCTATGTTTAGAAACAAGTAATTAAAATAGTTTTAATGCCAGAGGTCCTCAGCCAATTAAAAATGTCCTTTTCTCCTGTTGCTGTAAGAAAAATACACTGAAATAAGGAGTCTGACTGTACTTGAGAAATTACAGGCAAAGAGACTTAAAAGATCTTTTGATTAAATCCAAAGGGCTGACACTTGACATAGTAAAAATATCCTCCTCCTATCAAGCCTCTTTTAGTTACTGTCATCGTGCTTGGATCAGTAATAGTTTAAAATATTACTCCGAACAAAGCGTGATTTTGAAGTTGACTGAATCAGAAACTTTTTTTTTTTCTGTTTTACTTTCTACAGTGAAATTTCATTCACCGTTAGCATTCCCGACCTGCCCATGTGACAAAGTATTAATGTGAAACAGCTATTCTCTATTTTCTCTTATGCAATGCATTATGCAATACCGAAGGCTATGCCATAATTTTGATGCATGTGATTTTATTCCAGAACCTAAGTGCTTTGCAAAGAAAACTGTTCATGTCAGTTTTATTGCAGATTACAACGTTGCAGCTCCAGTGCCATATAACAATAGTGACAAGCCAAATTTTTTGAGCAGTTTCTTCTTTTTTCTTGATGCTTCTGGAATCTAGGCTTATGCCACAGTGTTCATTTGTGCTTCCTGATGCTGGAAGTTAGTGAAACCAAGTGTTTCAGGACTCCATGTTTGAGAAATTAGAGTATTTAACTTTCCAGATAATCTGGTTTGTTTTATTTTCCCCCAGAAAAAGCCAGCTTTAATTGGAAACATTCTAAAACCTTCCATTTCTTTTATTCTTTTATCTTTAATGAAATTTTGTACTTTCAAGTAGCTCTGGAAGTCAGGTCATTGATTATGAAATCATTCATTCTGAACTTTGGAAACATCTCCCTGATCCCTGGGTAGATTTAATTCTTCAGACTCTGTAATAGGTGATTCATCAGATGATGTTGGATGGTGAGTCCTGCCAAAACCTCTGAACGTGGGTAGTCTCTCAACAAGCAGAGAAGATGGGAACTGGAAAAAAGAGCAAGAATTACCAGTCTCATAGGGCTCAGAAATATACATCTCTCCTGAACTCTCCTGGCCTGCAGTCTGCTACTTCTGCAGCAAAGACAAGAACATGCCAGGACCAAGACACCTGGGCAGAGTGAGCTCTAACTAAAGGACCAGTGAAAGAGGCAGCCAGACCGCATAAGAAAGACTCAATTCAGAGATGTTGATTTTATGTGATGTTTCTTATGATTGAGAAAATGTTGACAGCCCTGCCATAAGCCTGGTGTGGAGCATGTTTTTATTCATCAAATGGAAACCTGCATTTCCCTTTCACACCCCTCATCCTAGCTACTAGAACAGAAAGCATATCTCTTTTTATATCCCTTCTTTCACCATTCTCTTGATCTACGTTAACAAATATATTCCAGCCACGTGAGAGTAAATCAGTCAGAGAAACAGTTGACAGATACATTGCTGGTTTGTTATCTGTGTTTTTTAGTGACCAAAGTACAGATTTCAGTTACGTTAGTAACCATTTTTAGTCTGGAGCTCATTGTAGCCTGTGCTGCAGGCTCCCTGTTGTTTATATCTTATCAACTATTGTATATTTTATTAGCATATCTATTTGTCTGTGTATGCTCTCTAAACGTAATCCCTTCAGAAAAAGTCAAACAACAGGAACATGGTAAAAAGACATTAAAAAAGCCTCAAACATGAAGTTTTACCAGAGGTGAGACTCAGTTATTATACATGTGCTATTTCAAACTGCATCAAGCTGTAATGAAAGGTGCTGTGGCCAAATTTAATGTCATCCATACTGGGGCCAGTGGAAAACGTCTGCACATTTTGTTCTTTATGTCATCTTTGTGGCTATTCTTGCAAAATTTCTTTACATAAAAAGTTTGTTGGGTAGCCTAATAGTGAGTAAGCGTGGAAATGTGGCCATTTGCTGAAATCAGCATTGTGTTCTCCTTTTTTTCTGTCTGTAGTGATGGCTCAGGATGTCTCATTTATCTTTTTCTCTCTGAAGCTTTAGGGAATTCTGTGCTTCACAGCAGTGTCATAACACATCTAAAGCAAGCACGGAAGCAGGGGTACTGCTTTAATGAAGAGGAGCTCTTTGATGAAGGTAAGTGGAGAAAAGTGTGAAAAAGATGATGATGCTGTGTTTGCGACTGAATCTGCCCACGATGCTG